ACCAGCGCCTGCAGGTCCTGGGAGTCCCGCAGCAGCCCCTCCGCGGCGATCATTCTGGCCGTCAGGGCCGCCCCGAGCTGGCGCGCTCTGGCGCTGGGACACTTGAACTGGTCCACCAGGCAGTGCGGGATGCTCTCCATCTGCCTCCAGAAGGCGTCCATCTGTGAAGGAGGGGAGAGGCAGGAGGGGAGGAGACTTGGTTAAGAAAGTGTAACGCCACATGGTCAGGCGTGGGAACTTAAACGCGGAGAGACCCAGCAGGCGGGGGAGGAGTGCGTGAATTCCAGTGCCCTCTAGGAATCTTCCAGAGTTTAAAAGAGATTGAACGTGTCCTGGAAGTAACAGCACGAACGGCCATTGAAATGTCAGTTCTCGTTCCAAAAGCACCAGAGAGAACGCGGCAGAGACGATGCTGAGCGTGGGAACGTCCTCCTTGAAACCCTTTTTCCTGCCCCATCTCGTCGGGCGCAGCGCTGGGACGGCCAGTGGCTGCGAATGCCGAATGCCAGCTGGGACACTTGAACTGGTCCACCAGGCAGTGCGGGATGCTCTCCATCTGCCTCCAGAAGGCGTCCATCTGTGAAGGAGGAGAGGCAGGAGGGGAGGAGACTTGGTTAAGAAAGTGTAACGCCAAATGGTCAGGCGTGGGAACTGCAATCACTGCGCATCACAGATCGAGATTCTGGACAGTTCTACCCCCCCGGAGCACGTTCACCTCGACAGCGTCACACTCTCCAGAGGTTCCTCCTGTTCCACGTAGCGAACAGCAATGAGCTGCGGACCCCGGGATCTCCCAGCTTAAACGCGGAGACACCCAGCAGGCGAGTCCTGTCGGTGGGGGAGGGATGCGTGAATTCCAGTGCCCTCTAGGAATCTTCCAGAGATTTAAAAGAGATTGAACGTGTCCTGGAAGTAACAGCACGAACGGCCATTGAAATGTCAGTTCTCGTTCCAAAAGCACCAGAGAGAACGCGGCAGAGACGATGCTGAGCGTGGGAACGTCCTCCTTGAAACCCTTTTTCCTGCCCCATCTCGTCGGGCGCGGTGCTGGGACGGCGAGTGGCTGTGAATGCCGGGCATGACGTGCAGGTTGCGTGCTGCACGCAGTTTCCTTCCAGATAAAGTACAGCTCGAGCGGATGAGGACGAGGACGAGGACGAGGACGAGGACCAGGCGCAGGGGATGGGCCCTGGCCCCGGAGCGAGAGGCAGAGGCAGCAGACCTGGGGCAGGTCCCTGCAGCTCCAGCTGGAGCTTCTCCTTGGCGCCCGTCTCTGAGGCTGAGAGGGACACTTCTTGCTGGATCCGCATCCCGCATGGGAGGGGTTAGGGGTCAGTGGCCCCAGAAGCCCACACTGACCTGGCTGCTATGGCTGAAGGTGGAGATAATGACAACCTGAGGCTCGCTTAATCCTGCCAGCCGTCGCAGGGCCGGGCTCAGCCAGGACAGAACATCACCCGGAGGCACTGGCGCCTCTTCAGAAGCTTCGTGTCCACCTCGGGGCCTCCGGGCAGCTCGGCACACCCTTCACCGCCCGTCAGCACTCATCCCATCGGACCCGCCCGCCCCTGCAGGCTCACACCTGCTGTCCCCTCGCCCATCAGATGACCTCTCCGCCCACCGTAAGAGACACGAATTCCTTCCCGGGACAGAGAGCATGTCCCCCAGCCTGCGGCTTCCTCTCCACCCCGGGAGCCAGGATGCTCGGCCGTCCTTCTTATGAACCTCCGACTTCCCCGGGCGTCCGTGACACGACTTCCTCCTGGTCCCTCCAGGCCCCCTCCGCCTTCTTGTTGTGATTCCCCTTCGCCCGTGCTCCTTGCTGTGGGCAGGATCCAGGCGCTTCTCTGCCGTCCTCCACAGGGTCCTGGGCCCGGGGCGTCTCCTTCGTGGGTCACTAGGACTTCACAGAACCTTCGAGGACTGTGCGCCCTCTCCTGAGCTATGCAGCCTGGACGCCATGTCCCTGCCGGACTCCAGGCTGAGACCCTCCTGTGCGCCGCCGCCTTCGAGAACGCGCTCGCTCCCTGCATCCTCCTCCTGGGCCTGGTCAGACCCCGCCCCACCATCCCCTCCCAGCCTGTTCTCAATCTGGGTCCTGATTTCTGTAGACAGTTCTCTGCACGCCCCCCACCCCCGCACCTCCTTACGTCCCATCCTATCGGCTCCCACTTCTCCTTACCCTCCACCCACTGCAAACGCCTTCATGAAACCCCACTGCACTAGCCCCGTAGCTCGCACCGGCCTCCACACAGCAGCCTGTGCAGCCCTTTAAAGCAGGAGGGGACCCAGCCACCCTCTGCTGCAACCCTCAGCGACTCCCCCTCCTGGTGAGAGGAGGCCCCTCGTCCAGGCTCTGCTCAGCTCCCTCTGCCTGCTCCTTGGCTCTTTCTCTGCCGCCAGTGGGCCAGCACCACACCTCTCCCAGGCAGCCTCTCAGCGGCCCTTTCTTTGAAAACTTCCCTAATCGGGGGTAAGACGGTTCCTCTCTCCCCTGCGCCTCAGCGCTCCTGTGTCCCCATCTGTCACACCTGAAAGCCAGGAAGTCCTCATCTGCTCT